GACGGTATATTTGGGCCCTTATTTGTAATAATTTTTAAATATCGGGCCTTTATCTGTAATTATTTTCATTTTGGGCCTTATTTGTAATTATTTTCGTTTTTTGGGCCCTGATCTGTAAATTCCCCTAACGTTTATTATTTACAACAAGATACAATAAGGACTATTACACAAAAACTCGTAAACATCAAGAGGACAAATTGAGCATGTGATTCGATAAAGTCATTTGATTTCGCAATAACTTCGTTGACAGGCTTTTCACGTTAATATACGTACGTACGTACGTACGTATAGGATTTATAGTCACATGGATAATAACTTATATATATCTAGAAACGATCATAGAGTTAGTCACGATTAGAGTTTAGAACCAGTTTTATTTTTCATATTTTAAAACCGGTTTTAATCAATTTATCATATGAAAATAAAACCAGTTCCAAACTCTAGTCAAATAAAGATATAAATTAAATTTGGAATTGATCTTCAAATTCTTTTGCTACAGCCTTCGACAATCATTGATTATCAATTCATCATACCGGTAAGAAATTCGACGAAAAGAAAACAAAAAATAAAAATAACTCTCAAAGTGACAAAAATATAGGGCAAAGAGGTCATGAAAAACGATAAAATAATATATTCTAGCGTAAGTTGAGTATACTTTTGATTTTGACAAAATTTTTTTTTTTTTTTCTTCCTCGATGTATATGTATATGTATATGTATATGTATATGTATATGTATATGTATATGTATATGTATATGTATATGTATTTGTATATGTATATGTATATGTATATGTATATGTATATGTATTTGTATATGTATATGTATATGTATTTGTATATGTATATGTATATGTATATGTATATGTATATGTATATGTATATGTATTAGAAAAAGGTTAGGAGCAAATTTCCTTTTATATATATTAAGAGGAAATTGTTTAGACGATCTTATGCACAATAATGGCACAAATCAATAAAAATATACATATCGACGAACACACATGGTTAATAATCATAACATGATTACAAATGGTAGAAGCATTACACTGCATAACTATATACGGTAAAAGAGATCGGGCAAAATTAAAAAGAGGTAATTACGGAGTTTTTATGCCGTTTTTGAAATTCTTAACGTTGCACGAACTGTCCTAGCGTTACCAACCTAAAAAATTCACTGGCCAATCAGATTTCAAAATCAGGTATGACGCAGAAGAAACGCGAAAAATCAAAGTAAACAAAAAAATCAGCATTTTATCTATGAAATCACCTGCACACTAACAAAAAGTTTTCCTTGCGAAATTTTGGTGCTATTAAAGCTCTTTCTAACCTAGCTTAATAGCAAAACCTAATCCTAATCTAACAGCAAAATTTTTTTGGCGAAATTTTTTAGGTTGGTAACGCTAGATCAGTTACATAGCACGCAAGGATTCTTTGTCGGTTATTGTGGCGTAGATCCTTAATCTCAGTGTAATGTAACAAGATCAGAAAAGTTCAAAACAAACGTTCGATTTGGCCTTTTTCTCAAAAGTCTATATAAAAAAAACCACATTTAGTATTCTAACAAAAAGTTTTCCTTGAGCAATTTTACTATATAACTACCTAACCTCTAATCTTGATCTAAGCGTTGACCTTAACTATAAAATTTTATGTTAACTGGAAATATGCACCACAAATCTGGAAGAATCCAGAACATATTCTTAAAGTGACACAAATCACATGCCAATAGTAAATATACCAGGAACGTAGTCATGCAAATGACGGAGTGTATGGTTAACTGCCATCTAGAATGCCGTGTTCGCAAAATCTTAGATTTGATTGGGCGTTGAAATATTAAGATTTCACGTGTTATTATGCCTTTTTATTCTGATACAATCTAAATATGGGCATACCGATTTTAACATTTGCATTATTCTGATAATGTACGTATGTACGTATATCCTCTACTGACATTGGAGAACGCACTAAGTTTCAGGTTATTCTATCATTATTACTGACGACTTTAAGATTTAAATATATTTATCGCAATTTATATACGAATATATGGTCTTTATTTTTCGTTTTTAGTAAATCTTATTTCGTTTAGTAGCATTAAATTAACTTATTTGTTATATAACTAGAAACATGATCATGTAGGCGGCTTTGCAGTCTATAATGTGTTAAAGATAGATTTGTTTGTTGTATTCTCATTTTTCTTTCACAAATAAAATTTTCTTAAGCATTTCCGTTATTAAATGTTTCGTCTTAAATTTATTGCACCAACTTTGGCCCCTTGGGGTCCAAAGTTGAAGCATTGATTTAAAGCCTTTATTTATTATGTGAATGTATAGGATTAGAGTTCAGTATAGTGTCACCTGCTAAATAAAACTGTCATTGGATGTTGTGTTAAATAATTATATATTTCTGATTCGGATCTAAGTTTGTTTAAAGCCAGGCCATCACGTTATGCCCGATCAAAGTCGTCAATTTTTGTTTAACAGATCAGCCCAACGAAGGAAAAAAAAGTAAAAATGCGAAAAATACAAGAAACGAATGTCTGAACCTATTTTGGCACATTGAGAAGAAGTGTTGAGGGGACGATTTTGTGTCTAGAAAGCTTTTAATGTTAGTCCGCAAGGCCCTAAAATGACCCTAACATTAACATCAATTTAAATTCATAATAGACCTGGCTTTTAAGCGCCTCCTATATTAAAAAGAAATGATTACACTGCATATAAAGATGATACTTGCATGCGCCTCCTATATTAAAAAGAGATATTACAGGATGATACTTGCATACGCCTCCTATATTAAAAAGAGATGATTACACTGCATATAAAGATGATACTTGCATGCGTATATAGTAAAGATGATCAAAACAAAATTATAGAACATTAATGACTGCTTTGTGTAACCTCTTATTTATATTATTGTAAACATCCTTTATTATCAAGAATTTTTTGATTTTTATTCAAATTTTATTGATCTTATTGAATTTAAAAGCTATAACTCAATTCTAGAGTGCTTAATTGTACTTTTATTTTCTTTTTACATTTTTTCCCTTTTCTTTCTTGCTTAATCTTGTGCTTCTTGTTTCTGATTTTGCTTGAAACTCCTTAGTATGCTTTTCGTCTTGGGTATAATCTTCACTAGAATCACTTATGAATTTATTATCTTGATCAGATTTCACTTCTTGATAATCATCAATCGTTTCAAGATCAATATGATTTGGTGATTTTTTACTTTTGAATGATGAACCTTGTTCCTTTTCTATGTCACTGGTTTTTATCATTTCACATGCTACAGGGGCAGTAATATTATCATCCTCTTTGGAAGAAGCACTGAATTTAGGCTTTTTTTTTTGTGGGCTGGTGGAATCAACATCATCTGTGATAACATTGATAATTGACCATGTATTTGTTTTACTAGAAGAAAGGTTCTTGCTTGTATTATAATTTTTTTTTTTTTGTTATTAAGGTGAGGCCTTGCTTGTATCTTTATTAATAGTTTTTGATATAATAACTACAGTGAGTTATTAACCTTTAAATACATAAAATATAAAAAGTAAAAATTACATTCAAGAATAAAAGCTCAGACTACTTTATCTGCAACCTAAACCTACTAGAGTGGTCAAAGACTCGCCTAGATTGTAATAGTTAAAATATAATTTGGAGATATACTATATTTGATCCATAATATATTGTAAATATTAATTTTGCAAATAACCTGTCCAGCTTGTATTATAATTAAACTCTAGACTTTTTACATAGTCTATGTCTATGGCTTCAACCATTATTTTACCTGAATCTGAAAATTTGATATTCTCTGATACAATATACTTGTTTCCAACTTTGATGTTAGCACCTATGACTTCTAAATACTTAAATCATGTTGATTGTGACAAGTAAAGGATGGTCATTTTCATTCTAGTGTTAGATGACCCTATGACTGAATTATATTCAGTCATTCTGCGCCAAAATGAACGTAGTTTTCTGTTTCTTTTGGCTTGCAATTGACACCCACATAAAACATAACATGCAGATCACTTATGAAATATCCGAATACTGAATTCATGCTCAGAATTTCTGCTATCAATGATACTTACATATGCTACTATTACACATTGTTCTGAATTTTCTACAACATATTTACTAGAAATAAATATGATGTCTCCACTTATAATTTGTTGAGTTGATGCGTCAGTAGGGATAAAATATTTCTATTTAATAGTCTGAGTTAATTGATTAGATAGTTTATATTTAGTGACACTATATAAACAAAAATGGCTATTCTTTGCCACTATAATAACAACAAGAAGTGAAATATAAGTTGGCATTTTTTGTAATTAGATGAGTTTGGTTGCCAATGTTAAATTTGATTATAAAAAAAACTTGTTGGATTCTTTATATATATATATATAAGTTTTATAGAAAGAAAATGAAGCTTTGGGCTTTCAGATTTATTATATATGATTTACCAAATTCAGACATAAAAGATCTGATTAGTAATAAATATAATACTGCGATTATGTATAATATATATGATATTATCAAATAATGAACTTAATATCTTGAAATCGTATTTTCTTTTTGCTGCATCATATAATAATGCTATAAAAAAACTTTACTTTCTTACTTTATGACATCTATTCTGAGTTTTTTGTGTATGTAAATTCTTTTTAATTGATTGTACCTTTATCTTATTATTCTCATTTAAAAATACATCTGACCCTTGATAATATTTCATTGTTCTTGTGCCTTTATTAAAATCCGTATATCTTTCATCTGTAGATATCTATCTATTTGATACAATACCATTGTTATCCCTTATTATTAGTTATTTAAAACAATACATGATTCATATAATTGATGATTTTATTTTATTTGTTTATCAGATATAAGAACAATTAATTATATTATAAGTTAAAATTTAATTAAATAATTACTCAATCATCATATTTAGTGCCTTGCTTTCTTTATTATTACATATTTAGCTTTAAATGATATGATTTATAGGGGTAAGTTTTTTAATGACATGATTTTTAGATAACATTCTAGAACCAATATAATTTGTAACTTTTATTGCTTGGATGATATCAATATCGATATACTTGATTAATAATCTGTTTTACTTATCTATTAATCGATTTCAAATAAAAATTATTATGATATGATCAGAACTAGTTTTCAACTTGATTAAAGCCTGTATATACAAATAATACAAATATAATATATCAAAATTAGTTACTTGGATAATTAAATTTCTAATAAGTAAAGTTTCTTGAAGACGATCAAGTTTTTCCATCTAAAAATTGTATTATATTATTTACATCTATTAATATAATTTAATTATAAATTTGTGTACTTTGATGCATTTAACTGATTGCATAAATCTAAAATGTTGTAATAATTAGTTCAGTACAATATACATAAATTCTCAATTTTTCAAAAAAAAATTATGTATTAGTAATATAGAGTCATATTATAACTCTTATTAACCTATAAAATAATTTGCCACATATATTACTAATACTTTTTTAGATAAATAGTTAAAAGGGTAAGATTTTTTATTTTCATACACTACATTTAATCAAATTTACATTAACCATATTAATATAATGATACCATTTAAGAGTTATTTTATAATTTAATCACTGAATAAATTCATAATGCTATACTGTACTTTTTATGATCTGCATACAAGACCTTGGTCTTGCAAAACAATTAAATCATATGATTTTGATTATTTTTTTCTCATAAATTTATATATTTCACATGATTCAAATGCAATATAATTTTGATAATTAATCACTAAAGCCTCGATTGTGTTCTCAGTTTAGTAATCCAACTTCTTTAAGAAAATTTCTTAATTCTGTGAGTTATAAAAGCTAATAATATCAATTAAATAAAAAACTTGCTGTAAAAATTTATTCTAAAGTTTAGACTACAGAAAATTTTGTCTGAGTCTCTATTCTTGACATCCTTAGGATATAAAAGTCATATATAATTTCTTTTTTGTAAATTTGCTTGTTATGAGATTCAATTGAGTTTTAATAAAGTTAGAGCAATGGTCTCACCTTATGATTCAAAAAAAAAAGAAATTTATTCTAAATGCAGTTTTGGAATCTGAACATTTTTAACTAAATAATATTTGATCATTTTATATAAAACAGTCATTATTTTCAATGCTTGTTTGAATAATATATCTACATAACTTTTGATTTTTTTCCAAAATTAGATTTTCTACAATAATAATCTGAGTTCCAAAACTCTACAATAAAATTACACCAAAATGTTATCTAAAGTACCACACCTTATACAAGTTACTGTCTAGTAGTATAGCTCAATTAAATAGTCTGATATTGCCAAAAATTATGAGATTTTAAAAATATTACATAGTATCAGATAAGCATTTATCAAGTGAATTCACAAATTAAATGATAATTATAAAGAATCACTCTGATTGATAAAGCAATTTGTCATTCTTTGCTATATTTATACTTACAATTTATTGTATTATTGCATTATATTTCTAGGTAAAACCAAAATTTAGCACATTATAAATCTTTATATATTTAGCAAGTCTAATAGTATAAATGCCTGCTTATGCTTCTTTTTTTTTACTCAAACAAAAAAAAAATTAGCATAAATCTTCTAATAGAATCGAAAATTATTTAAACTCTTATTTCTTTCAATTTATTATTTGTATTACTTTTGTTTTTTTATGAACCAAAATGTTTATTATCAAAACTAGAGGTAAAGCTAGAAAAAGGAAAGCCTCTGAATAAATCAAGTTAAACCATCAAAGCAAAGCATTTAGAACCTTAAAACATGAAAGATGGCAAAATTATGAACACTCTTATAATGCAACTCAGCAAATTCATTGGAAACAAGAAAAAACTTTTAATCATCTTAATAGAGATCATCAAGCTAAGTGATTAGATCTATCTTTAAGAGTTTTAGGAATAAATGAAAATTTTATTAAATTGACAGAAGATCAGCTATGCTTGATTGATTCAAATATGTCAAAAATTACATTAGCCAAATTTGTGATAAAGTTAGCTTGAATAATTTGCGAGAGATGCCATGCATGATCTGTTTAAAATTATGCTGTAATAAAGATTTCAAGAAAATTCGAGCTAATGAAATAGATATATCATTAATTAAAGCACCTCAACACCTTACTAATCTATTATTTCAAATCAATTTTCATTATGATCATCCTTATATTGACTCTATCAGATTAAAGATTCTTCTTGATCACAATAGATTTATACCTTATAATTCTAAATATCATGATAGTAAGATTAGTAATCCTTTTAATTTGCGAGTCTATAAAATTTGGCTAACTTTTTTGCAAAAAAGTAAATCCCTATCCAATAATATAAGGATTGGTCCTATGTCTTTATGTTTTTAAAACTGAATAAATCTTAATTTCACCCAGATATACTTGTATGAATATTATTCAGTTAACAAATAAGAGACACAACTATCACAAACTCAAAGGTCATATCATCACGTTATCTCAAAACCCAGAATCTTTAATTAAAGTTTTACCAATGCTGACTTATCATTTATGTGAATACATCAGGATTATATTTGTTAGACAAGGAAATCCAAATGATTATCACCTTAAAAGAGTACTTCAAGTTAGAAAAGCAAGATTGCCATTGCTCTCCATTGGCTTTTCGAATATAATATATTGTTTAAGAATTTTGAATTCAACAAATCAACTTTAGATGCATTTCCTGAAGGAGAAATTCCTGATTCTTTACTTTTAACAACTACATATATTAATTGAGACCCTTGAGAATTTGAATATTATACTAGTTATGTCTAAGACCTATTAAACCATGATAAATCAGGTAGTAATAGTGATGACAATTCGATGGAGAAATATCTGAACTTAGACCATCTGGTATTTTAAATACCAATAATGTTCCAATATCAAAAAATGAACTTAATTTATTTGCAATTCAAAACTTTTAAATAATATAAACAAACATATTAATAATCAGTTTTTAACAAATACAAATGAAACAATCTCTTCAGAACCTCTAATAATCTATATTCCTCATAGTTGTGAACTCTAAATAAACACAGTGATGAATTTCTCTTTCCTGCTGCATTTCCTATCCTATTTCCATATGGCATTAGTAGTCATGAAGGCCAAGTTCCACATGTATCTCTAAAAGAATACCTTAATCACCTTATGTGTATTAATGATCTTTGACTTACACATCTCGATCCTTCAGCTGTATCTAAATATTTTGATATACTTATTAAATTTATATTAAGTATAGTTATTGGGTATAATAGAAAAGAAGGCAGTGTATTTGGCTTTGTAAAAAATTATTATAGAGTAGTTGAGTATTAAAATCATGGCACCCCTCACTGTCATTTACTGATATGGCTACACAGATCATTAAACCTCATTGAAATCAGAAAGATACTTAAAGATAATGATGATGAATTTTGTCAATGCTTATTATTATATGTCAGTGAAATTATTTGAGAAGATATTAATTATCTTTCTATTGGTGAGACTTTAACTGATAAAATATTAGAAGCTGAATATAGAACTCCAAAGTCTATTGAAAAAAGATGAATGCATCTATTTTTTTCCTATCCCAGACCCTGGTCTACCTGATTTTAATAAAAATTTTAATTTAGATTTGCTTGCTATTGTTAAATGCACTTTGTTTCACCATTGTAATAAATCTTGCAAAAAATATAATCATGGTTTTCTTCATGACTGCAGATTTGATTTTTTGAAAGAGTTAGTTAGCTCTTCTGGTATAATATTTTTAGAACAAGGTATAATTGCCATTCAACGCACTAATGCATTTATTAATAATCATAACCCCTATATCACATCTTTATGTCAAGAAAACAATGATATTAAATTCATTTCTGCTTGAAAATTGGTGTTATCCTATATATATTATATTACAAATTACATTACTAAGTCTAATATTAATATATACAACTCATTTTTAATGTGTGCTATTACCTTGAAAGCTTTCTTAAAACAAGCATCTGATGATCTTTCGATCAATCTTGTGGATCACTCTTGTAAGCTCATTACAAAGTGCCTTAATAAAATAGTGGATCAAACTGAACTTACTAGTCCACAAGTTTCTGCTTATTTACTAGAACTTAATAATCATTATACACCAAGTAAATTTGCTCATATTCATATTAATTCTTTTGAATATTATCTTATAAATGAATGGGCTAAATATTATGATAATATTAATGACAATGCTGATTATTTACTGAACACCACCTACTTTATTCAAAATAATGAACTAAATTTTGTATCAGAATTTTTTTTAATCACAGCATCTGATAATAACTTAATAACTGCTAATCTCTACATTGATTACTAATTTTGAAGCCTATTCAAAATAATGAACTAAATTTTGTATCAGAATTTTTTTTAATCACAGCATCTGATAATAACTTAATAACTGCTAATCTCTACATTGATTACTAATTTTGAAGCCTATTTTTAAAAGACATATACTTTTATAATTATGCCTTTACGATACAAAAGGTTCTTCTAAACTCTTATCACCTTAGAATGTTAACGAATCAGTCCACAAGAGAGGTAATAAACACGTTGATTGCTTTTTGTTTCAAGAATATAAAACAAATAATACTTTTAAGCATCCTCAATGTAATACTCATATTCAATTACATCGAAAATAATGAACTGAAAGAGTAATTGTGTTAAATAGTAAAAGAATCTTGAAAAAAATGATACTAAAAATGCCAAAAGATATGGATTATGCATACTTATACTCTTTAAACTGTGGAATAATGTCTATGACCTTCGAGAAAACTATACTTCTTGGTTAGAAGCATGTAAACATTTTCTAAGTAATCCTTTATCATCACCATGTTTGCAATATACTATTCATAATATTGAATTGCTCTATTGATGCGTAGAAGAATCAGATTTGGACTATGAATTACAAGAAAAAGCTAAAAATAATCTGCTATTCACAAAAATCTAATGTATTACCTGTTTACTCCTGAATATAATACTGATGACAAATACTTTTTATCTGAAAACAAAAATATTCATATATTATCATGTGATCACAAAAATGACTTGATTAATATTGATCCAATATTGATTATCAGAAATAAATTAAGAGATTTAAATGCAGTAAATACCACTATGAACTATTTATATATCAGGAGCAGATTTTCTCTAAGTAATTTCAGTTTTCTGACCAAGGCATCAGTTAATAACAGTTTAAAAATGAATATACTTCCTGCTAAAAAAAATATGTG